TAAATAAATAAATAAATAAATAAATAAATAAATAAATAAATAAATAAATAAATAAATAAATAAATAAATAAATAAATAAATAAATAAATAAATAAATAAATAAATAAATAAATAAATAAATAAATAAATAAATAAATAAATAAATAAATAAATAAATAAATAAATAAATAAATAAATAAATAAATAAATAAATAAATAAATAAATAAATAAATAAATGTGACAAAATACTAATGAAGTATAGTACCTACTCTGTAATTTTTTGGATGCCTCTGTGAGTGAGAAAAGAAATCTACTGGGCAGTTTCCCAATTAAAAGATGAACAAAATTTCCTCACTCATAATCATTCTCCAGAAAGACACAGGAAACAAAAATGAGTTTCTATGATTTCCAAGTGGTTGAACAACTGCTAAGTCCTTCAGTTTAAGAGGTTAGAATGAGACCTGACAACTCAGAACTTTCTTAGGTCTGACCATCTCCCCAATCCTCCAGTGGACACATAAGATCACTGTCTTCCCCATAGGAAATGGGACAGTCTCCCTCCAAATGGTCTCTCCTTCTAATTCCTTCCCTTAATCTCACCTGGATAGAACATTCCTTGACAGTCAAAGACATACTAGAATTTGTGGAAAAGCATTTCCACAATTTGCAAGGGATTGTGGCCACACAGGAGGGAATTTCACATTTAGAAAACAAAATGCCAAAGAATCACATGAAAAGTTACTTGCAAAAAGGACAAAGACCACCCACTATGGAAAAAATGTGATGAGAGTTTCGGTTGCCAACATGGGAGCCACCCGGAAAGTAAAATGCCTTGTTTTCTTTCTTTTGGTGTATTTAGCTAGAAGCATTACAATTATGCAATTAAATGATTAAGTTTCCCAAGAAGGAAAATATGAACAAGGAAGTAATGATGTAGTCATATGAGGTGTTCAGCGGGGTATAAAAGGGGGTGTAGGGCAAGGAGACTTCCAAACCCAATACCTTCACTATCTTGTAAACCCACTCAGAACCTCCACCTCTCACTCACATCATGGTCAACTCCTGTTGTGGCTCTGTCTGCTCTGAGGAGGGCTGTGGCCAAGGCTGCTGCCAGCCCAGCTGCTTCCAGACCACCTGCTGCAGGACCACCTGCTGCCGCCCCAGCTGCTGTGTGTCCAGCTGCTGCAGGCCCAGCTGCTGCAGGCCCAGCTGCTGCAGTCCCAGCTGCTGTGTGTCCAGCTGCTGCAGACCCAGCTGCTGCCAGTCTGTGTGCTGTCAGCCCACCTGCTGTCGCCCCTGCTGCTGCCCCAGCTGCTGCATCTCCAGCTGCTGCCAACCCTCCTGTGGTGGTTCCAGTTGCTGCCGCCCCTGCTGCCAGCCCTGCTGCCGGCCCTGCTGCCGCCCCTGCTGCTGCCTGCGTCCAGTCTGTGGTCAGGTCTGCTGCCAGAGCACTTGCTACCGCCCCACCTGTGTCATCTCCACCTGCCCCCGCCCCATGTGCTGTGCCATCCCTTGCTGCTGAGATCCCCGCTCTAGGCTCATCTCCCCCTGAAGATATATGCCAATCTTTGGTGTGAACCCTTAGGACACATGGAATCTGTTTAACATCATTTAACAGGATGGGATGCACAATTCCAGGGAGCCCACCATCCTCCCCAGAATATGGCAGCCCATCCTGGATCACTGTACATTCACTCCTTAGCTACCCTTTCTTTCCAATGTTAGTACAGTGTGGGATGCACAGTTCATGGGCTAAGGATTCATCCTAATTCTCCAAATTAATTAACTCTGTGGCTCTAAATTGTTATTCCCAGTAAATTAGGCATTTTCTACAACCCTTGTCTGAACATTGACTTTACAACCACAGCCCTGGGGGTTTGGGTATATTCTGTATTTCTTGTTTCTAAAATGAATTTCTTATGTCCTGTTGTTTTTCTTTTTTCTAATAAACTTTCTTACACCTAAGAATTCATTGTTCCTGTCCTCCATGTCTTCCATAACTATTGTACTAAATAATTGAGGACTTAGGTCTGGCTGCTTAAGAGTAATTTCTCTATTGCAAAGGACCTGAATTTAGTTCCCAACACCCATGTTGAGCAGTGTATAATCACCTGCAACTCCAGCTCCAGGGACTGTCTGTCCATGTTTGGCCTTTGCAAGCCACCCCAATTAAATTAAATTTTTTTTTCATTTATAAGAGTTACTGTGGCCATGGGGTCTCTTCAAAGCAATAAAAAACCATAAGACAATGTTTCTATACGTGTGGGTCTTCATATTCAAATTTAGGAAAATTTTAATTTACATCATTGTTCTTAATTAAAATACTTATACCCTTTGCATATTATACCTTTTAATCCCATCAGGTCTATTTTGTAGAAGAATGTAAAAGCGATTTTCTGAGGGGAAAAATGTACATACCAATGAAATCAAGAAAGTCTTCTTTTAAGAGTTTAATAATCCAGGTGTGGTGGTGAATGTCTGTAATTCCAGTATGCAAGGAAACTGAGGCAGAAGACTCATAAGTTTAAAGCAACTGGGCTACATGATGAATATTAGGCCAGCCAGCACTACACAGCAACCCCATGTCTCACTTAAGTAACTGATTAATTAATATAAAAATAATGCCCTCAACTTATTCCATTTAACAAAGCAGCATTTCAGAATGACAACCACAAAGTGAGTTGCATTACTCACTGA